TGTTTCAACTTTATGAATCACTTGATTTTTAGTTCTTGACTTTTTGTTCCGATGATCTATCTATGGCCGGCCAAACAGAGGAATTTTATTTGTTTGAGTGAAGCACGAAGCTACACAATGGGCTATCTGTGCTCTGCCCACCACGGGATCTTAGTTTCTAGCGTTGCAAGTCCGTAGAGATACTGCTGTGCCACGGGGGATTGGCAAACAAAGGAAAATGGATGCCAAAAATAATATGGGAGATTACAACAACGACCACAACCTACTACCAACCAAAGTCCATCCGTAGTAAAGTTTTATCTCAAATATATAAACAGTTAGAGTACATAGTCTCAACGTAAATCACGGAGTTTATATTTGACTTGAATCACCAAAATTATTACCGCAAATTCAGATTTTAAACTTGGTTTTGTATTTGGCTAATCGCACAATATTAGCATGAAATATTATATGGTTCATTCAAATATAAGCTAGTGGCACAAATACAATTATATAGGTCCAAAAGTTAATTGTCCTACATTTAAATATCTGATGTGTGGGCAGCGTTTGATCTACAGTACCAAACCTTGGTTCTTTGTTAGTCTATGTGCCACACTAATTTCGTGTACTTGTATAATCACGTGGAACAGACGAAAATTTTTAAACAATAGCATACTGCTCTAAGGCTTTTAGTTAGAACTAAGAGACAACATATAGTTTCGTCAGTTTTAAAAGAAGTAGAATGTGAGACATTTGAAAACATATTCATAAAGTGAATGGCATAACACGAGAATGAGACGACCGCAGTATAAAGATGCGTTTGTTTGAGAATTCTCAGCAAAGCTACACGAGGGCTACCTTTTGAATTGGAAGCCCGGCATGGCCAGGTAGTCAGGGTGCTCGACTCGCAATCTCAGGGTCGCGAGTTCGAATCCCCCCTCCCACCAATGTTGCTCGCCCATTTCAGCCGTGAGGGCGTTACAATGTTGCGGTCAATCCCACTATTCGTTGATAAAGAGTAGCCCATGAGTTGGCGGTGGATGGTGATGACTAGCTGCCTTCCCTCTAGTCTTTCACTGCTAAATTTGGGACGGCAAGCGCAGATAGCTCTCGTGTATCTTTGAGCGAAATTCAAACCAACCAAACCTATTGAATTGTTAGAGGGAAGACAGCTAGTCAACAGCACCTACTGACAGCTCTTGTTTCACCAAGTAGTACGATTTCACCGTCACTATTATAGCATACTAGCGGTACAAACTGCGAATGGCGGTTTTGCGACAACGGGACGCGAATCCTGAATTTGTAGATCTGCAGACCCGACAAGCTAACTACTGGGTCATCATGACATGAAAATACTGGTGCAACTGCATAATTTAAGAGTCTTCATAACTAATTTCTAACATATAGCGTAAGCCAACTTAAAAAAAATATTAATTTACCATATTTTTTATAATTCTCAATTCTTTGCCTGCCGACACGAACCACCAGGTGACATGTTTTACTAAAACCGGTTGAAATCAACTATGCGGTAAAAAACAATTGCAAGACACAAACAGTCATTTGAATTTTAAAAATCCACGAAACCCCCCCCCCCCCACTAAAATTTTGAGACTAAGAAACTAAAATAGCTAAATTCGCTCACCTATCTCTCTTTAATGACCCGTTTATTCACATAATCACAAGTATGGTACTCGTACTGTAACTTTGTCAGCGTTTTGTTTTTAGATATTAAACTACTAAAACTAACATAGAAATGCAAATTCTAGCTCGACGTACTGTAATCACGGTTCATTTTGAATTTACTTACGTTCGGTTATATAGGTTATGTGACAAAAGGTTAAGATCAGTTTTCGTCATCTATTTTGTAAGTCGATTTTCCCAAATTTCATGTTTACGTTCCATATAACTTAAGTGTTTTTCGTTGTTTTGTTTTATGCTATAGAAACAATGACATACCATTAATACACGATTTCTGTCTCAAAAGATATGGCTTTTATAACTTACCTCACTCTACTTTTTGTTTGTTGTTTTCATTGCAGCGTGAATCAAATACACGTATTGCAACCAAAAGCATTGGATGAAACTACAATTGCAGCTGTCGTCAAATTCACGGCGTGTGGATCTCAACCTACCGGGACACTGAGCGAGAAAGCATAAACTATCAACTGATTGAGAGTTACAAGTCCCTGGATTAGATCTGTGTGTGTGTGTGTGTGATACCGTAGCACTAGGTGAAAGCTTGAACAGTAGTTTTCATTTATTTCTGTGCACACCATAAAAATAGTAGGTTTCACAGATCCAAGATTTTATATAAGAAAAACAAATGTGTATATTATTCAGAAAATATGAACTTTTTTTTTTAGAGTAAAAGAATGGTTAGTTTTAGGGCATCATGATTATATGACGCTAAAAACACAATCTTCAAGCTACACGCTGTTTATTGCTTTAGAAACAGTAACATACGTTCACTTGGTGGCCCATCCTCACGAGAGGGCGCAGCTGTACACATACCTTGATAAACGTGACTAAATGTAACATTCGTTCTTATTTGTAGAATTTTATCAAACGTTTCAAACAATTCCATTGAAATTGTGGTTAAAAATTGAAAAGTGGGGAGCGGGAGAGGGAGGCATTAAAATATTAACAAGAGGGCCACTCACATATTACATAAAACTTGGGATCTTCAGAGCCGGGTGAAGCCTAGTGGTCGGCGTGTACGGGTTGCAAATCAAAGAATGATTCGCGAATCGCTTCCGCAAAAACGCGCTATGCACTTCTGGGCCATGAGCGCGCTATAAGAGTGACGGTCTTTCTTATTTGCAACTTAATACATTAGCATGCTGATTAAGAATGATATTGAGGATACAGAAAACATGTTATAGTTTTGCAAACATTCATTAAAATGTCCATAATTTCCTGAACAAATCTTAAAAAATTTAACGTACATCTGATAAAATTTAGTTCTCCTATAACTAAAAGGTTTCAAAATAAATATGAGGTTCTTTTTATAACCATCTTGTATATTATACAGTTAATGAATATTGTTATTAAGATTTCAACACCCAAAGCTTGCGAAGAATTAAAGACCATTAAGCCTATAGTTTTATTTTTCTACATTCCTCTCAATTTCCCCATTGCGGATTCAATATGACAAGTGAGTGTAAAATAACATTTCATAAATTTTAGGCCTAATGGTTTCTAAGGCTTCGCCAGCTTTCGCAATTTAAATTGCAAATTTTAAAATAATAATATTAATTCATTTTATAATTGTCTTAAATATCAAACTTCTGTATTGAACAATAAACACACGCTAGTTTCAAGAGAGATCACTGTTACCAACATTTTAATAACGTTTTATTTAAATAATTTAAAACTGAATGTATAACAAATAAACCAAAGGATTAAATTTGATTCTCACTAAAATACAAACTAAACAAAGCCTTATCTAACTTGATAAGCTGTAGAAAAACAACCACGTAATAGTTTCTTTTTGTTGCAGATTTAAGTTACAAAATATCATGAAACGTAATGTTTTTATATAATTTATTGCACTTACTTTATCATTTTCTGTCTTTAGAAAAATACTACAAGTCTACATAATATTAATAATGTACAGCTTAGTTGAGGAGCACAAAAAAACTTTTGGAATTGGAATGAACATTATGTAAAGATGAAACATAAATCGGTTTTATCTGTAGATTGGTTCACTTAAAGAGGTTGTGCTTAAAATAATCAACTCCGAAGCAAAATCTTATTTTAAAGAAACTTTACTTTTATATAAAAACACTCCTGTAAACCTTTGAAATTATGTAAACTGAAAAAGAAATTCCTGCATCTACATATTGGTTTTTATTAAATTTTTAACATTTCACTAGTATTTAATATACTAGAGAAAATATAAAGTCGCAAACACTTCTTTCTGAAACTTAGTGAGAATTTCTCTTTCTTAGTATTATCAAATAACTAAAACAAAAATATCAGTCAAACATTTATACTCCACCCCCACTTTTTTTTTGAGCCCAAAATTCAATATAAGGGTCAAAATAATTCTTGGTGTCACACACATACTACAGTAATAATCAGTTTAACTTGTGTCAGCTTGTACTATGTGTTACCTTTAACAAATTAGTGACATTAAATAATTCAGAATTAGTACGAAACAATTCTTAGGAAAGGTTTATAGTGAGATATTACTCCTGCAATATGTAACTCCATGGATTATCTTGCAAATTATTGAAAATAATATAAAGGTGTAACTCACAAACTTGTAAACTCTTGGGCTGTATTTAAAAACATTGGTTAAACTAAAGCAACTGAATAAAAGATTTATGTCCAATATATGTACATGTATGATATGATCTACAAAAGTTAAATGTGTGGTATAGTTTAACTAATTACTTCATATATGAAAATAAATATGATAAGTTACTGAAATATTTATATCTAAAGTTTATCTGAATATTGTATTTTTAGTAGCAGTGGCTAATGAATATAGGTGTACAACACTAAAGAACATTAGTAGGAAACATTCTTAAAATAATTACCATTCGACACTCATACAGGTTTCACATGTGCATAGAATCTCATGTAGTTTTACTGTGGCTCATACAAAAGATATGAATGTCTCAAACAACTGTGCAACTTGTCTTTTTTTAAATATTCTTTAACAAAAATAGGGATATATCAGAAAGTTCAACTGAAGTCTACTCTAAGTGTTCTCTGTGAGCAAGATATTTTTTTTTGGCTGTCTAGAATTAGATATTGCTAAAACCTAGACTAATGTATAATTCGTACAACCTTCTTTAAACTTTAATAATGCAGTTATCAAACTGCTTGAATATGAGTGGAAATTTCTATTAAATGAAATTAACTACTCACACTACATAACAAAATAATAATTTTTCTCTGACATTACACTAACATAACTTTAACAGAAGTTTGAAAAATAATCACTGGTTAAGTTGCAATAAATTGCTACAACATTTTTTTTAACATCTCAATAATAAACAAGAACTATTCTTAATAGCAGATATTCACACAAGATCAGCATTACATATCCCATAATGAGTTTAATTTCACTCTACAAAATATGTGGTAATATATTTCTTATCAAATCTCTTTGCTTCCAACAAGTTTTTAAAAATTCTTTATATTGAAGAACAACAAACGTTTATCGAGTGACTTTCACAGCAAGGTGCTCCATTTGCACACCAATATTCCTTAATATTTAATTTATCACAGCTAATACAATGCAATTTCTACAAATAGACATCTCCTTTTCATAACTTTGATGATTTTTAGTAAAGGCCTGTAGACACTGTTATATACTAAAGTTAGAAAAACATGTTTTTTAAGTCTTATTCTATTATCAATTGGAACTTCATTCTTAAGCACATGTAATTACTATAATTATTTTTAATACAGTAGTCATCTTCTGTATGCAGAAATTCTTATGTTGCTATACTATAACTAGTTTCATTCTTAAGCACATGTAATTACTATAATTATTTTTAATACAGTAGTCATCTTCTGTATGCAGAAATTCTTATGTTGCTATACTATAACTAGTTTCAACCAAACATATAATTAATTAAACAAAAATTCTCCTGTTCAAACATATGTTGACAAATTGCAGTTAAGGCAGAACTTACAATGCTAAAAACATGCACTGTAAAAAGCATCAGAAGTCATCAGAAAAGCCAAGCTTTATCTAAGTGCAAATAATTTACATTGTAATGTTTATGTATTACCAACATCTTTTACATTACTGAGGACTTGTAACCAAGGCATCATTTTATACAAAAAACAGCAGCACAGTTTTTAAAACAAAATAAAATATTAAACTTGTTTTTCTACCCCTAGTTTAATTAAAATAAAGAGGCTTGGTTTGGCTTTGTATTACTTTTATAATGTATTACACAGCTTACATTTTGTAATGATGATTAATAAGTTATTTTGGATGAGTTGAAGAGAATTTTTACTCTTAACAAATATTTTATATAACAAGAGAAAATGTGAAGAACATGTCAGGATGACAAAATTTCGAGATATTTTTGAAACTGTTATTTATAGATTATAGAGAAAATCAGAAATAACTGTTTATTGTTAGATTAAGTCTTAAAAGTGAAGTGATCACGTCGATCACTTGTTCCCATTGCTTACGATGACAGTTTGCAATTCTTCTTGGAGTATTTTTCTTTCCCATGCTCATTAATGACACATACATGCTGTAACACAAAAAAAGAAATTTTTTTTTTCACAAAAAGTAACCTTATATGCATTATATAAAAAAAAAGACTAACAATAAAGCTTTTCGATACCACGTACTATGTGAATATTACGTTTCATAAGATTACTACTGTAATTAATAATAAATATATCAACCAAAAAGCATTAATGTTTAATCCTTATGATACAGCACAGGTGAATTGTTTTCTATCTCACAATTACCATTATATATTATATTAGTAACAATTAATAAGCAATTATTAATTCAAATCTACTGAATTTCATACTTATTTACAAATTAATCATATCTACATTTGAAAAAGTTTTGAAATGTCTCATCACACAAATGTCTCATTTTTATACTAGCAACAAAAATGACTCCTAACTGGTCCTATATATAAAAATTTATTCTTTTATTTTTTATTTATGAGAAATTATATTCTTGTTCATAAATTTAACAGTTTCTTGGTAATTAACAGTCACTTGGTGTTAAAGATAACTCCCATAACAACATGCCAAAGTAACACATAAGGTTGCCAAATATGATTATACCCAATTTTACAAAAATATTTTAAAATTAGTTTTATATTTTCTGTACACTGCATTAGACTTATGATAAATAGAATAATATATTGTTCAACTTCACAGCTCTCAACAATTTGATGAGGATATAACTTTTTAACAAAAGAAAGGACAACATGTATAGGTGGCATAACAGAATACAAACATAGATCACAAAATTGAAAAAAAATCAACTTACATTCAAATCTCGAAAATATTCATTGTAGTCCAAGGCATACCCAACAATAAATTTATTTGGAATTTCAAAACCAACATCTGTATACATAAATAAAACAACAAATAATCATAATTAGAAGCTTCTTTTTCTTTTTCGGCTCACGATCGTCTCAATGTTTTTTATTTAAAAAATTTGGTTATTATAAGAATATCAGCAAATGTCATGCATACTTCCTTTTATTGACAAAAGTGTCATTAATTAATGGTGATTTGAAAGACCCCTAGCTGTTAAGTACAACATGAAACAGTTGTTGATGAAAGTTACCTGATTTTAAACTGTATACAGAGGGTTGAATATGTTCTAGGAAAATGGTTTTGGAGTTTCACCACATTGTTATATCCATGTCACTACATTTGGTAGCTCTATTTGACTTAGTCATACTTTTTAATATCAATAAGTCTTCCAAAGTTGGGTACATCCTGTTTTCAAATATTTTGTTTGTTTTCTGAAGTGTGTTTTTGTTCATAATACCACCCTCGCAGTCACTTATTTTGTATCGATTTATTAAAAACATGACAAGTATTTAATACTGGAAAATACTTGGACGTGAACAACATATTTAATTAAATGGAACAAACTGTAAGAAAGCTAGCACAAAAATATATTCAATCTCAATTCAAAACATATGTATCTATCAGTTAACACAAAGTTAAGCAATTTCACTGTCACAATAACATTCAGAGCCACTGAGAACTATCATGGAAAGGTGCAGTTAATGTTCACTTAAACATTCTGTATCTAGTTGATACATTTTGTACAAATGTTTTGTCACTCTCTTGGGCCCCCTTGGTGGGCAGTGAACTCAATATCACTTCCACCCTCTTGGTTTGTAAAAGTTCAAAATCCTTGAGCCATTGAGAATAAGTAACAAATTCATAATTTTACACTGACCATAAAAACAATTTCATTCTAGCAGTATAAGTTCATATGGAACAAAGACAATTTCGTATATAACTATATGACACTTGAATACTGAAATAATACCCCACTAAATTTACAAAAGTCTAATTTTCTAACATGTATGTTTACCTAAAACATTTGTTGTGAGTCAGATCTAATTGAAAAGTTTACTTGTATCACTATATGTAAAGGTTACAAGAAAATTCCTATAGAAAGAACTACAATAATAATTCCACTTTAAACCTTATATCACTGCTTGCACAATTAAAACAGTACATCAAACAACCATCAAGCCTAAAGGTCAGTCTTATAATCACAGTTACAAAAATTAATGAGATACAATACCCAACAATCAATTACATTTATTTAATCTTAATTTTTATTATTAATGCTCTAATTTTTAGGTACTTTAATAAGAATCTTTTAAGAATTTTCTGTCTGTGATATGGAAAGAATATCGCAAGTACTTAAAAAAGGGTAAAAGACAGAGTGCAAAAAAAAAGCTAACATAAGATAATGATAGAACATATTACAATGCTTACAATCTGGTCGAAATCCTGAGCTCACAGTTGTTCTCTTCATAAACAAACTAAAAATATAAAGATAGAAAACTAAAATATCTACAATTTATATAAAAAACGAAACTTGTAACCCTCCAATCATGTAGCAAAAACACGAATCTGTAAAATGGACAAACCATTTAAAAGAATAATTGTTTATAGCTTCATAGTTTTGATTTTTAATGAAATGAGAATAATAAGACACACACAGGTTCATAAAAAAGGATTTTCTTATTTATCTTCCAATGATAGAGTTCAGTAATATAATACTAAAATATTAAATGCAAGGTATAGTTTTTACTGCACTGCAAAGCTTGCATTTAAATCAAAAATATTTCATTACACAGTCAATAATATCAATCTTATAAAGCAATTTTTAATAAAGTATATAAAGTAAATCCTTTTTAGATTTTCAAATATAAGGCAACATATCATAGTAAACACCATATAAAATCTACTTACTTGTATAACATTCATTGCTCAAACATTTTTTGTTTTATTATATCTATGTTGTAACCGTGAGACATTCAACATTTCAGTTTGATAAAACATTATATTACATTGTGAAATGGAACACATTCTGTTAATCTTCAAGTAAAAGCACATTAAGCCAAGAATAAACATGAATGAATTATGTCTCTTTAACTCATTTTTAACACCTGCCACACAAGCCAGCCCAGCATCTTTTAATACTGAGTCTAGGAGGATCAAGGGTCAATCCAAAAACTGGTGATTTAGAATTAATTAATAGTTCTCGATGAATGAAACTTGGTACAACTTCTAAAATGAATGAAAAAAAACAACAACTAATTAATAATGAAAATATAACATGATGAAATGTATGTGGATTATACTATGGTGGTACCATAATGGGCATTATACCATCTTTGTCATATTTACTCTTCATTGCAGAAATGGCATTTTTTAAATTTCCAAATCACTAATGAAATCATCTTGCTATGCACTGTGGATGTGTTTCAACTTCAATGCTGCACGTTTGGACTTTACTGTGTCATTAGTTTCACAAAATATTGAATCTAATGATTCCATATACATGATTCCCATCCCATTTTTGAAGATAACGATACTACTGTGCCCTCTTTTTATGTTTCTCTGTTAAAATTCAGCTGGTATGTCAAGTTGATTGGAATATCTTTGGATAAGTTATTCCTTCATCAACCTGGACCAATGGTTTAGCTTAATTGCTAAACTTAAGCCATCACATTCACAATCACATCTAAAACATTTCATTGCTACATCGTTTTACTTTATATTTACTAGTTAACTTCTTCATGTTGGCTGTCATGGTCTTGGATCAGATCACGAGTCTGGTACAGTGACCTAGACCTCAAAAATAGTACCAAACATCATTGTTTTGTCTATTCAAAACAACCTAATCCTTTCCAGCATGATTCTTCTTTTCTATCTACTTTAAGATGCCGGGCCAGTTCATGTGACAAGTGTTGAAGTTTCCTTTTGAGTATAATATACACTACCAAACAAAAATTAACTTCTATATAATAAAACATGTGTTGTTATAGGTGGTTGATGGGAGCAAAATATTAATTTCATCACTGGACCCTCACATTACTGTCTTTTCAAAATTCATTACTCCACATAGCACAAGATGTAATTTTAAAATTCTTGTGTAAATTTTACATTTATTGAAACAAGAAATAAATTTAACAAGAAGTATTTAAATGCATACCTTGCAACTTTGACTGACTTGGGTTTCTCCTTCTCCAAAATTTCCAACAAAACTTGCATTGTCTTCCCAGTATCAATAATGTCTTCTACTACAAGCACATTCTGCAATATTACACATTAAAAAGAACATTGATGTACTTTTAGATGCATATCTATTTAAATAAACCTCATTTTTATCATTATTTTGTGATAAAACCAGTAGGGTCTCAGAAAGATTTTACTTGCTATTTTATGCGTGATTCTATAAAAAAAAAATATTTTGGAACAGATTTTTTTTAATGATTCAGAGTAATATTCTCTTTGCAGTTAAAAGTTCTAATGATAAATATCAAAATCTGAATCTGCACGTATTACCATATTGGCCCGATTATAAAGCCATGTTTTTTTTATTAATATTTAGGCTGTAAAAGTCATAGTTGCCTTATAATTGTGGCTGACTACAGGCCCCTTCCCCCTACTCTAGCCTTTCACATTCCTGAATGTCCAGATAGCATCTGTCTACACATGCACGCCAGATGTTCACTCAAGGTTATAATTAATTTTTGCAACTAATCCATCTGCAGGCTGTTCAGTTATAGTGTCAATTTTATACAGACCCAAAAATAGGGAATTACGACACTCAATTTTTTCTTTCCCATGATTTCTGAAAATGAGAAAATATTTGAGATCGCTATAATAAGGCCAATATAGTAATTAAAGCTGTGATGAGTGTAACGTTACAATTGTGTAACAGCAGTTTTATTGGTTTGTAGAAAACTTGAGACATCATAAGATTCAAAATATTCAAAAGTGTAATAACTTAAGATTTTGCAAGGAAAATCACTTATGGTAATTAACAAAGTCATCAGACTTCAATTTTTAAATGAATGTTGTTTTTTTATCAATTTAAAATTTTAGTACTCATTACACTGTTTGAAAAACTTATATAAAAGAAATTATTAAAATTACACCATGATTTTGTTTATGTCTACACTCTACATATACAAGAACAACATTTTTAATCTGAATTTGAAATTTTTAGCTGCGGCATAGCGGCTTATAGAATGGCTGTTTTTTTTTCAAGTACAAACTATTAGCTCACAGTTCCATTTCTTGACCAATTTGAGATCTAATTATAGCTGCTGCTATTGAGGATTCCCACTTGTTTAAACATTTTAAAAGTACTGAACCATAAAATTAAATTATGATCAAAGTAATAATTACAAAATTGAAAGCCAAAAATATGTGCCAATAATTTATACTGTTCTTTTTATTAGAACTAACTAATTCTGTATACAAGATATTTATAGATGTAAAAGTATAATTTTTTTCTTCTCAAAAACATTAAATACATATACTATGCCTTGTTTTGAAGGAAAGATAATCCATCCACCCCAAGAACCTTCACTTTTCCTGTAGAGTGATCATCCTGAAGTGTAAAAAATAATTACATAAAATGTTTAAATGACCTAAAGAATGTATCATAAAGCAGTTGTTATCATTAAAGTAAATAAGGGTTAAACATTAGTTGTTTTTTTTATGAAATCTATGTTAGTAATGACAAAGATGGTAACTGGGACAAAAAAGAAAACGAGCACACCAAGGAACATGTAATGTGAAAAACTAACAACCTGATAAAATGTTTAATGCCCTCTGTGAGGTTTACTTTTATTCTGTACTATTTATTTACTTATGGAAACAAATATCTTAAATTCAATTTCTTTTAGAAGCACTGGTTATTCTTTTGACAAAATGATTTTCCAATTACTGTATTGTCTTACATTTTCAGTGTTAGACAGTGCAGGTGATAATCTCTTTAGTTAAATGTTCAGTGTTCAGACAGTGCAGGTGATAAACTCTTCAGTTAAGTGTTCAGACAGTGCAGGTGATAAACTCTTTAGTTAAGTGTTCAGTGTTACGACAGTGCAGGTGATAAACTCTTCAGTTAAATGTTCAAACAGTGCAGGTGATAAACTCTTCAGTTAAGTGTTCAGTGTTCAGACAGTGCAAGTGATAAACTCTTCAGTTAAGTGTTCAGTGTTAAGACAGTGCAGGTGATAAACTCTTCAGTTAAGTGTTCAGTGTCAGACAGTGCAGGTGATAAACTCTTCAGTTAAGTGTTCAGTGTCAGACAGTGCAGGTGATAAACTCTTCAGTTAAGTGTTCAGTGTTAAGACAGTGCAGGTGATAAACTCTTCATTTAAGTGTTCATTCAAAGATATTACCAAAACAAGTGATATTAAACAAGAATAAGGTTTTAAGAAAATGAAACGAGTAATTCTGACACTAACAAATGGCAACTGGTGGCGTAACAGCATTTATTTTCACTAAGTTAGGTTAGAGTAGTAAACACGTAAAAATCAATAAGTTTTCTTCCTTGCTTATGGCTTTGTATGTTTTCAACAACTACCTTTAATCATTAAGTCAAATGTCTTTTCGTTTTACACATATCACAACATATCAAATGCATTGTTTGAAAGACAAGTAGTAAAAAATTAAATGCTACGTATGAACCTTGTACAAAATAGAGTAATTTCACAATAGATAAGGAGAAATAGCAACATTGTAAGATCAATCATTAACAATTATGAAGAGAAAGATATCAACTGTGCAAAATTTTTAACACACTATAAGAACACTTTTTAACATATACAGACACACACAAGTATAGCTTACATACAGACTATCCTGAACCAATATTTGTTTTTAAGATTGTACTAATAGTATCTCAGTTTAAAGCCATTTAAATATTTGTATATGATGAAAATAAATGACTGGCTGTAAAATACTATTCATGTTAGTATCACTAAGTTTGTATACTGTATACCTGTAATTATTTATAATTAGTAATAATGCATGTCTTTAGTACAGACTAAATACATGTACAAACAGTTTTAGATGTACAGGTAAATGTCTCTATTTTTAAACTATTAGAGAAATCATACTCCTGTACAAAAAAAATTGAAAATTTGATCACTTCATATGAAATTGTGAAACTAAAACAGATATCAACTTCCAAAGATAGATAACATGAGTAGAACAAAAAAAAAAGAATACCTACAAATGTCACAATATCAACTACATGGCTGAAATAGAAAAAAGAATGAAACATCTTTTTGCATCAGCCAAGTACAAATGAAACAGTTTCATTATGTGAAGGTACATTATTTTTCCATCAGATGAATATCTTAAAACACACACACACACATACACACAAATAATTCAAAAAGTAACAGATGAACTTGAAAAGAATTGATTGGACTGAATTGATCTAAACTACAACTACACATATGACTTTTCTACTTGTCTTAAGCTTTTACATTCAGTAAATAAATATTTTAGATTTTACAGAGACAGTGTACAACAATTTTTTTACTGGATATTTATTCCCTTTATTCTTGATTATTCTTAAAATCTGCTTAAAACTTTACTAATGGCAGTGAACAAATGATATGCAATGTATGTTCATATAAAACTGACAGTTTGTTGTTAAGTATTTGGTGAATGTAAGTGTATTTTCACAATTTGCAAACTTCAAAAGAAAGTTGTTTTTTTGATTTATTTATTGTTTTTTTGCTACAATGTCTTATTATTTCTTTAGCAGTTTAATTGAAAGACAAGGGAACAATAAGAATTTACATTGCATGTACAAGTTGACAGAACAGTGAAATAACTATTGTTTAAAATGAAGAAGAAAAGACTAGTTTTAGTTTCTTAGGATTTATGCACAAATCTACACAATGGGCTATCTGTGCTCTGCCCACCACAGGTATCGAAACCCGGTTTCTAGTGTTGTAGGTCCGCAGACATACCGCTGTGCTACTGGGAGGCAGAGTAGTTTTGATGCTCAAAAGGAGTTTGGAACATTCAAGAGAAACTAGGAAGAGAATGGTATTATATCTTCTCTTCTAGGATGGGACCTGTCATGATGTATTGGAAAAGTTTAGATAAAATACAGTTCAAAAGGAATGACGAACAGAAAATAGGAAAAGCTTGAAAAAAATAAGGAGACTAGAAACACACCAAATAAGAATACAATCTTTCAAAAGTAAAAGGTAAAAAGACCACCTTGAAAGTGAACAAACCAATTGTGAACACTTGCCAGATGTAGAGGAAACCAGAAAGTAGTGAATCAGACCATGTATTAAGTCAATGATATAAAAATTATTAATGGAAAAAACATGAACAAATGCTTATAATAACAGTCTTTACAAGTAAATAACACATGGAAATACAGCACTAAAAGAATCATTCCATAAAAAAAAGACACCATAAACTATTAAATTAAATAGCCAGATGACAAAGTTTCAATAATAATGGCACAAGAAAGGCCAAAGAAGCATATGACAAGCAAAACATAAAATGACAGTGCTGTCACTTACATAATGAGTTAACTCACCACTGATTGCAATAGACAGGATGAGAAGTTTCACATATTTCCTTAAGACTTGGATCACAGTTCATGAAGTTCAGTTAGTAGAGCATTAGTCTTAAAAAAATTATCTAAAGAAAAGGTTCTCAGTTCAAACTCTGGTAAAGATACTTCTTAACACCATAATATGATTTTTTTATACTGTTAACCAATTAAGGGGTCATGTAGATGGCATTATGTGCATCTGTGTGTGTTGCAAGAGTACAGTTAGGGTTCACTGTGGGCCTGGGATTATTGGTAAGGTTAGAATATATCTTGTTAGTCTGAGATTATTGGTAAGGTTAGAATATATCTTGTTAGTCTGAGATTGATGGGTAAAGGTTTACTCTGTTTTGTGTTATACTATTAAAGATGGACCTTGATCACAGATGGAGGAAGATGACCTGATATCATTTTTGATTTCCAACGATGTGCATTTAAACAGGTTTCCAAGTCAATATAACAATTTAGCATCAATGGTAAACTGTTAATTCATCATCTCTATGTCTGTGCCATGGAAAAGAGCATAATGTCAACAGTGACAGGAACTACACTTAATGGAATATTTCAGAATGTCACCCAATGTCAAAATGTACAAGATAATATCATATGTTCACTGGTACTCTTAAGATCAATTAAAAAGTAAAATTAGTATTTAATGTCACGTGATTGATGACAGTTATAATCATTCAAAGGTTATTTACAGATATAAATATGCTGAAACATCATTAATGATACAAAACAACATAAAATAGAAACTATATAGAGGAAACAATAAGGAGGCTGCTAATAAGATGGCAAATCACTCATAACTTATTTAGTAATTAAGGAACTCTAAATAGATTGGATGATATAAAAAACAATTTCTTACCTCGTAACTCTGCAAACGAATGAAATCTACAGAAAATGGAACAGAATTTACGGCACTAAAGCGATAACACTGTTTAATTTTTTCCAGAAGATCTGCAAGAAACTTGTAACCGCCCTTCAGTACGCAGAGTGCTGCAAATGGTTCTCTTCCAAGATTAGTTGCAATATCTCGAGCCAGTCTTTCAATTCTAAACCAAAAGCAAAAACTTTTTTCTACACTAACAAATTTTCAATGTTTGGAATTTTGTTCTAGATCACTGCCTTTGTGTTTTCAAATCATTTGTGCTACAAGTTTAATGATTTTAACAGAGATGCTTCATGTACTTATAATGTACACACATATAGATATGCAAAATACTTTTAAAATAATCAACACCAACAATGAGAATTGTTTCAAAAATATACTTTTCAAATACAAGATTTCACTTCACAGTTGGTTTGCCCTCTAACACAAATTTAATTTTTAAGCAGTAGTATTACTGTTAATGCCCAAACAACTGAAAATCGAGAAAAGTGGCAAAACCTTAATAAACATCACTGTATGCATGAAAATGGTTTTAACCTTTATATACTTATAACCTGTTACACTTTTCTTTCCTTAACAAAGTAAACACACATAATTCTGTCATTTACTCTCTCTATTGGTAGATTTAGTCACTGTCTAAGTCAGTGTTTCCTAACCTTTTCGATACCAAGTACAACAAAAAATCATTATGATTTACAATCGAATATTCTGTCAGTTTTTGTGAAAAACCCCATGAACTGTCAAGGTGGTTGGTGACAGACCAGTGCAAGTCCATATACTGGTGGTTGAGAAATACTTGTCTTGGTGTTAACATTCTGTAACATCAAATAAAGAGACTTTTAATTTTGAAACATAATTACATTTATCTAATTGTATTACATACAACAAACAACTGTGTCTATACCAGTAGAAAACTTTCAAAAAAATACAGTATACAAATTCTTGATATGACTAAAAATTCTGAAATCAGATGATAAGGATATTTGGCAGATTTAGCATGGTAGTCAACTTCTAATAAGGAACTTTCTGAGCTACCTTTTCTTTTGGGTAGTGCAAGACATGCTTAAACTGATGTCAAATAATTTATCAGAGCATGTAACTGACATGAAAAAAATATCTCACTAAATGCTAAACCTTATGAGCAAATACTGGCTGTGCTTAGAAAAAAAATGTGTTGTTTACTGCTCTGGGTTTTTAATCATTTTACAAATGGATGTTTAATTATAAGTGAAAGAAATATCAGATCTACAGTAACATAATACACATTGAATATGTAAAATTGGAAATTTCTGACTTCTTAACGCAAAAGGAAAGTTTTTGAAAGAACAAAAAAGGACAAGGATTTAGGCTTGAAAAAAGTGTAAAATCCTTAACTGAGTGTTTAGTTGAAGTAAAAACAGATATGTATATATATAAAAACTCTATATAAAAGTTTTGAATTTTAAAGTAATACTATTACAGTAACCATATACAAGACTCTGGAGAGGCCTTAATAAGAATGATATGCAGAGTTTTGGCTTCAGGAAAGAGATCTCCATATAGGAAAGAATGTAAAAATGATCTAGCTACTAAAATGACACTACTTTTAAGAAATTTAAGCTAAGAAGAGAGACAAAAAATTAGATTTTTTTTTTTTTTATGAAGCACAAAAAATTAGTTATAGTTATAAAGAGGTATAAATTAGTGAAATGGTTTGCATAAAGATGTAGAATATGTTGTTAATTTGAACTATTTAAAAAAATTTGGGTGGGAGAGCAAACGAGTTAGAAGAGTTAAATTAAATTTTCTTTTATTGCTTCTTTTGGTAATTTTGGCAAACGACACAGTAATCCAAATATGTCGTATAACTTTCTCTTGTCCTTAGAAAACACAGTAACTGTGAATAATCAAGAAAGATATGTCACAAATATGACAACAGACTTTTAGAAAGGTATTATTTTACATAACCACAGAGTTCATTATAGTGAGGCCTGACAAAGATCCACCACAGTTTTTTCCTTTGGATACATGTGCTGAAATTTTCTTTTCTCTGGCAACATTGGAAAATAGTATGGCTATACTGCTGTCAAATTTATCAGCATGTAACTGACATAAATAAAAAAATACCTCATTAAGCAAGCTACAAAAACTGGGTTAATTTTGTCAAATACTTAAAGAAAAAAAATTTAAATGAAATAAATATTAGATAGGAATTATAAGTACTTCTGGTATCTAACCATGAACCAAGTTACAATTTACAGTCATCTGAAGTTCATTAGTGTCAGTCCTATTAGCAATTACATAACATACACACACATACATACTGATTAAGGGCACAAAAGAATTCTTGATTACATCTTTGGTAGTTTACAAAAAAAAATTGTCAGTACTTAAACATTCTACTTTTAAATCTTTTACTGAAATAAAACATGTGTGATTATTTTTTTTAATGAAAGCTGTTGTCCGATTTATATCTTAGCATACACTATCATTACATGTACATCTAATTGCTGCATTAAAATACTCGGAATGTTACTCTTTAAGTACCCTTAGCATTTACTCATGACTACACCTATGACAAAACACATGCAGTGGCCACTAACTTCCGTATCATAATTAATTCTATATTTGAAAGTAATAATGGATTTGAAATGTGTTTACAAATGTATCAGTTTAGATTGTGGTATTGATATTTTTTCAACTTTCTTTTCATTTTGAATGACTATAACAGAGGTTAAATGTAATTTGCCTCAAGAAGTTAATGGAAATAATTTGAATAATGTTCTAATAACACAAACCTGTCTTGAATTAATCCACTGGGAATTAAGATAGATTCTAGGGAATCTTCATAATGACGAGGGACACAAAAAAACTCCAGATTATATCCTTTGTAATCATCAGGGAGCTGAGAATAAAAAAATACTGTTGGCATTTAAATCATAAAATATTTATCAATCTTTCCCTTAAACTCCTGTAAATTTACTGTAGTGTAACTACCATATCTGAAGGCAACTCATTCAGAAGGACAACCACCCTGTTTGAAAATAAAACTGTCTTAGCTGAAAATGATTCCTTACCTATCAAACTTTATATTTGTATCCCATAGTCCTACTATTCTTACCATTATATATGAAAAAAGATGATGCAACAACACTATTAATTCTCTTAACAATCTTACTTCTCAATCAGATCCCTTCTAACTCTTCTTTTTTCAACTTCAAGATAAAACAGTTTCAGAGATTTTAACTCAGTTTTACTAAGTACTTATAAATTAATGATTAATGTAAATGCAAAACATACTGCTACCGAGCACAAGTTTTTCACTAATGTTACATAAGAAAACAAAGTCCCACTTAGAAAAATTTACTTACCTGTTACCACTAACAACATATACCAGTGTTAACTTTACTGTCATACTCATAGATAAATATAACTGCACGCCACACTAGGAGTGATTTTATTAATGCTATACACAATTGTATACGATTCTGTATTTACGGTACTCCAGTAATTTAACTTGGAATAACAAAAATCATAAATACCACGATACACGAATTTCCCGTCATGGCCTCCAACTTCAAATTCAATTTATGTTTTAACGCTGTCTCGTCCTAGTATCCGCAACCTGCAGGAGAACGTTATTTCTGTTCTCTACTATTCACGTCTACTTCTATACTTTAAAGTTGAGGATATACACACAACAGTTTCGCACGTGGTGAATCTGGAGATGAATGGCGTGCTACTTATTATAGTCATATGACTATCTCAAATCAATTTTCTTTTCCTTTGCGTGACTCAAATAACTTACAGTATATACTTCAAAACTGTCTTCTGTATTGAACACCCATTATTCGCCACTCATCTACGAATTGCATGCAGAATACTGTGACTGGCATAAACTTTCCCTACACCTATATCTTATGTCATGACTAGTAGTAGTAGTTTAATACCCAACAAATTTGTACTGTATCGGCTTTAGTCAAAGCCACCTATTGTCATTTTTGTTCATTATTTCTGATTATTGTATTTGTATAATTTGCAACCCTGGTTGTTCTTAGTCATTTTTAATTATAAGTGTTAAAGTGAAATAATACTATTTTTATGTAGTATTTTTCGTTATTTCTTATTTTACTAATTTATATTCCTATTATTTTGCCTTACTATAAAAATATCAATTCTAGAGTAAAGAAAACAAATGCCCTGAAAAATGAATAAAGAGAACAGGAACGGCAATATTAATGAAAAATAATAATTGAACAACAGATGTTTTCAAGGTTTTCGTTCAATATATACATCTACATGGCCATATACTCAGAGCCTCACGAACACTTTAGCACCCAGAAACTTGTATTTGTAAGTGACATAAATTATAGGGAATGAGTAAATCGTTTTTTAAAGAATAATCAAAATCATATTATCACTAGAGTAAATTGTGCACTAATCATGAAACTAGTAATACTTTTTTGAATATAATGTGATACGCATAATATTTCAATGTATTACTGGTTCTAGGAAAATATTATATGGTGATTTTTGACTGTCCGAAATGTTTATCTTCAAGAAATTCGGTTTAATCATTTTACTGTGATATTTTTCCTACTATTAGACTTCCCACAAAACGTTCAGTGATCTTTAATTCTGTGTTACTGGGTAATTTAAATGAAAAAAGGACTATAAATAAATAGCTAGTGGGTAGTGTTAAACTGTAGATTTCAAAGGTGTTTTGTTTTTTCTTGTCAACTTAAATCACAGAGAGTTGCAAATATTGCAGTATCACACCTGTAACACCTGTATTTGCAATACAATATGTAAGGGGAGATTCATAAACAACCGAAAATATCTATGAAACTTTTGTTCTGGCATTTCCTTCGTAATTAAAAATTAAAGATTTATAACTTGACAGAAAAAAAGAAAAAGAAAAGTTTAAACATTTTTAATGTTTTAATTTCTTAAATGAATGCGTATGACTTTCCTTATTATGTAATAGGTTGTTGTTAAGCACAAAGCTACACAATAGGCTATCTGTGCTCTACTCACCACGGGTATCGAAACCCGGTTTCTAGCGTTATAAGTCCGCAGACATACCGCTGTACCACTGTTGGGGGGGGGCTATTATTTATTAAAATCGACAAATTGAAGACCATTTCTATTTTAAAAAAAGACAAATTCAGATTCACTTCTTTCTTTTAACCTTCTATGCAAAGGACAATTGAAACGTTTTCGTGTGGCAGCCAACAATCAGTTTCAAAATCGCTTATCTCATCTTTTTTTTTTTT